ATGGATTAAATAGGATCATTCTGAAAAATATTAAAATTAGATATTTTTTAAATACAAAACTTTTTGGTTATATGAAAAATAAAACGCACCTTACAATTAATAAAGTGGCCTTCTTCAGTTAGTCCAAACGCTGCCATTTTCCCTTTATTGATGACAAAGATGTGTAATATAGACCAAAATAAATCAATTCATCAAAACGGAATAATAATTCTGCGTCTTGTGTTGTATCGTGAAAATAGGAAGACAGCTATATTATAGTAAAATAGACATTTCAAAATTTGGAACAAGCGGAAAAATTTAACTTTACCAATAAAAAATAATTTGAAGTAGATGAGTAGTACTAGTACAGCCATGGTGCGTCAAAACATTCTCTCACCACCTACCCCTCTGGAGCCAGAAGCGTGGCCTAATTTTTGGGGGAGGTAGTGGGAGTAGTCTGGCGCGCCGGTGAAGGGGGAAAGAGTGGTGAGGACTAAGCCCTGAGAATTTTTATCGCCGCGTGTACCTGACTTTTTTTTTATCAAAATCTAGATTTTTCCGAAAGGAAAGTCCGTAAAGTTTTGCATCGGAAACTGCCTCGAAGGTCCGTATCCGACGTTATATACACAGGGAGGTATATACGTAGCGAAGAGAGGGTCAGAGTTTTATTTTGTATTTACTGAGTTTTTATTTAAACAAAAAATATGCGCCACGAGACTCCTCCGTCTTGACTCTTTGCTGGTAAGGTGCGGACTAACGAGACGATGACGAGGGCAAGGGACAGGAATGCGAGAGAAGGGAGAGACGCAGTGAAGAGAGAACTTGGTGGAAGAGAAAGTGGGATTTATTTTTATCACAATGTTTGCTATGGTGCATTGTTGTGATTGGTTGTCCGCGGCGGGAGTTTTGAATTTAGGCCAGTCATCCGATAATTAAGTATGGTACATAATTTGATTGACCGTTCATCGGCGTGTCGGGTATGGTGCAGAAGGGAGGGAACATGTAGGGAAAATGCGGGCGCGCGATCAGGTAAATGACTACGAAAAGGTTTCTTTTGCCCTTATCCTAAAAATTTGATTGTACAGCGACCCTATGATGAGAATAGATGAATAATATGTTATCTGAATATATTTTCAGATAACATATTAGGGGGACCAGAAAGTAATGTCGTTTCTGCGCATGTCGATATTCGTTTGTCATTTATCAGCTCATTGTGTACTTCAAAGTCGTGCCAAAGACATTTTAAGGTTAGAGTGACTTGTTTACTTGTAAATAATTAAATCTTAAATTTTTCTTTGCAATTTATGGTGAAATGGCCATCCAAATACCAGAAGAGGTACATATCCGGCATTGTATGCTTTTTAAGTTTCGCAAGGGTAATAACGCAATAGTTGCTACCAAAAACATTTGCGATATTTATCCAAGTGCATTAGACGTTTGTAAATGCCAAAGGTGGTTTTCTAAGTTCAAATCCGGTAATTTTGATCTTTCCGACTCGTACCGATCAGGAAGAGCAACAACTTTAGACAACGACGTGTTAAGGGAGGAAGTGGAAGCAAATCCATGTCAGACAATCGAGGAACTGTCAAACACTTTTAACCAACCTTGGTCGACCATCCCAGGACATTTGTAGCAGATTGGTAAAGTAAACAGAGCAGGTGTTTGCATAATCTGTCCGAAGAAAACAAAGCTAACCGATCCACCACATTGCAACTTATTGCTTCAGCGGCACAATACAGAAGCGTTTTTTGATCGCTTGATCATTGAAGATGAAAAATAGATGCTCTATGATAATCCAAAACGCAAAAGGCAGTGGCTCTCTCCGAATGAATCGCCACGAAGTACAGCTTTACACCAAGCCAGATTTATACCCCAAAAAGGCGCTTTTATGTGTTTGGTGGAGTATTCACGGGGTCGTTCATTTTGAAGTGCTGAAACGTGGACAAACTGTGAATGCAGACCTTTGCTGTGAAACATTGGATTGAGTAAATCAATCTTTAATTGAAAAGTGCCCAGCGATTGTCAACAGAAAAGGCGTTATTCTGCAACACGATAATGCAAGACCGCATTGCGCAAGACGAACCCTGGAAAAAATTAATGAATTGGGGTGGGAGGTATTGCCTCACCCACCATACTCGCCCGATATTGCGCCATCGGATTTCCATTTATTCTAATCGCTACAACATTTTCTAAGTAGCAAAAATTTGAAAATTTGGATGATCTCCAGATATTTTGCTCAAAAACCAATTGATTTTTATCGATCCGGCATTGAAAATTTGCACACTAGATGGCAAAAGGTTGTTGATAACGAGGGTGATTACATCATTGATTAAAAATTAAAACTTATTACAAATTTATCTGTTTGAATTTAATGTAAAAAAACGACATTACTTTCCGGCCCCCCTAATAGGTGTCAAGTTTCGCCAAACGTTAATATCGGAAAGAATGCTCTCGAATGTTCTCGAATGTTCTCGAATATATGAATTATATACCATATAAGTAAATTTTGCATTTTTCTATTAGAGTTGTAATAAAAGGAAACTACGACACAAGAGAAGACGTTAGTTTTTGAATTTATTGGGATTTTGCATAAGGGTGAGGTTGAGGTAAGGAGAAGTAAAGACCTTTTTTAAATGTGAGGGGATTACAATTTTATTTAAAAAGTAAGTTGAAGCTGAAGCTGAAGTCTGTTGAAGCTTTTATAATAATGTTCTAACAATTTCGTTAATATAAATAGAAGTTAGTTCATAAAATATAATTTCAAAATAGTTGTCCAAAAATTCTAAATTTTTCATTTGTCGGCGCACATTTTGCTCGATTTCCTGATAATTATTAAAAAGCGTTTGTTTCACGACGTTCTCATCAATAGTACGCTTGGGCAGATTTAATTATATTTCCGTGATCAGAAATCGCTGACGAATTTTCCAAGCGAAATTGCTCCTATCGAGCGTTTACACATTTCACAACATTTTCGAGACCGTCGAAAGATGTTTTCTGCACAATGCAAGGGATGTAGGTTTTACGCTTTTTTGTTGGGGGTTCTGCAGAAGAATCATCCGCCACCATGTTATTTTTCCCCTCTTCTTCTTTCTTAGGTTAATAGCTCACCATTATCGCTCGTACTCCGTACAAAGTGGTGAAATGTTTAGTTGTATCGTTGGTGAGAATGGGATTCGGAATATCTTTGATTATTCTTCGCAAGTAGTCACCCCAAGTTCCATTTTATTTTGAAATTTCTCCCAGGTATCCCGATCGAAATATATAACAGTAGTTGAGTTTCCGGATAATTTAGTCGTAGGTCCAAACTCACCATCACCGTTCAATGTACGCAGATCCACGTGAATCCTTTTCGTATCAGAATTGTCGACTGCGTAGATCGTGGATAAAACCATGTAATTTTCATGTCTCATTGTGTTAGACGCTCCGGTGCTGCGCTCCGACTTCTTGATGTCGCGAGTTACGCTGGTGGCCGCCATTATTTCTTTCACGAAAACTTGTTGTTACCAGAGTGAAATACACGCGTATAAACGGGCTTTCTTAATAATAGCAACGGAACACTAGAAAAGAAACTTGCGTAAATAAATTTTGGCTGAGACAAGTCGGTAATATATACCCTCCAGAAAATCGAAAAAATGATGAGAAAAATTGCTTGCGCATGTGGAAAATGTTAAAAAATTTTGTTTTTAAAAAATTTTCTCATTTTAGTAAAACGTTTTAGTTAACATTATGTGAAAACTATAATCTCAAATGGAATTTTCCCAGACCGTTGGTAAGTAAAAATTAATCCGAAATGAATCATTTTACCCGAGAATATCTCCAGGTTGTTGTTGGTTTAGAGTAGCTATACTCCTAAATTTTATCTTATTTTATTGTTATACAAAAATTACAAAAGATAGCTCGGGTATTACTTTTGCGTCGGATGTGATTTCTCCTATAAATTATGTACGATGATGTGAATATTACTATTGCGTCGGATGTGATTTCTCCTATAAATTGTGTACGATGATGTGAATAACAGTTTTGTGTATCTCTAGACATTTTTCAAATCGCATGCGTCACGCCTTAGAAAGTTTATCGGGATTCTTGTGTTGTCGGATTTCAGAGTATCTAACAGCCTAGTCTTCAATACTTTCAAATGAAAATATCAGTTTCTTTTGAAATTATTTAAGTTTTCGCTCCTTTCAATCGCATGTTTATGGTGCTTTAAGATAAGAAGGGTGAGTAACGCAAGGTTTTCGCCGGGTTATCGCTTTCTGCGTTGAGAATAAAATTTCTCTTATTTTCCCGAAAAATATGTCTGGAATTTAAGGGGACAAGGTAGGCTTTTGTTATAAATACAGTTGAAAATCCATGCTTCGTCCTAAACTAGTATGGATTTCTTGCGCGTGTTAACGCTTTGCAAATCAGATATACAACGCGAGTAATTCAACGGTGGTGCAGCACAGAAAAGTGTAGCTAGTTGGTGCATCTGTGTTAGAATCAATTATTGTGGGGTGTTGCGCGAACCCAATCAGCGATCGCGAGAAATATATATCTCTCATTTCCGCTGATTATGTGGAAAACTATAATTTATTTTATAGTTTTGCATGTGCGTGTAGTAGTACATTATTGGCACTGTTATACAACAGCGGTAGAATACGGAACGAGAAACTTTTACAAATTGTGAGAAAAATTGTCTTAATTAGACGTAGCTTTGGCGAGGAAGAGGAAGACACGTGGGGGTTAATTGAAAATATGATTGCGCATACCAGGTAAGCCATTATTCCATAACAATTTTAAAAGATTCACAATAAGACGAAATTTAAAATTAACATTTCATCGTACCTTCAGATCGATTGCTGTTTCTCCCGTCACAATTTCGCGCAGCCAGGTCCTTCACGCGGCTGTAAACGTCGCGTGGAGGAAACCTCCATCCCAGATATCGTCGCGTAAGTAGAGAGAGGAAAAGTAAAGTTAGATTTAAGATGTTTTATCGTCCGAGCTTCATAACATTAAATTCAATTTTAGGAATCCGTTTATCATTGCAAGGGAGATTCTCGTTCGATCCCGAGATTTTTTCTCCATTAACAACACGAAACAACGTCGTTAACGAGGAAGAAGAAGAAACTATAAGTAAGTTTTCGTAGATACAACTAAAAACATTGATTGCGTTATATTTTAAAATCAATTTTTATATGATGATAATATAAAATTTTATTTTAGAAAATATTTCAATTGAGGTAGAAGTTATTGTCATCTCCAATGACGACGACGCAACGACGGCAACAACAACGACAACGATGATGATGATGGCTACGTCCTTGCACGCGTCAATCGTGTTGACGACGAGGACGAGGAAGATGCTGACGATGAAGAGAACGAAGCCGAAAACGGTAATAGTACCGTTAACATTAACGACGGTACTGACCGCGACGACGACAACGATGACGACGAGGACGTCGACGATGGTTCAAGAGGAAATGTAGAACAAGTTTACCAAGACGATATCAACAACGATTCAGCGTTTGGCATACCGAACGATTTTTACGACGCCGAGGAAGACGTCGTCAACGACAACGTACCCTTACCGTATTCGAGAGTTGTTCCTCGGAGAACGAGGTAAGAATGCAGATTTTCAAAATAATATATACAATTTAATGTTTGAATTTAATCTTATGTGTCTATAAAGTTTTAGAAGTTGATTATTCCCCGGTTAGTCGAACTTCTGTTGACGACGAGACACCTCCATATCTTCCGGGATTTCCTCGTCCCGGTACAACCGAATGGGAGAATATTAGGGAGAGAGTATGATGGACGGAAAACGGGATCGTACTCGAGTTCCCTCCATAATTCCTCCCTTTAATTCGGGTTATGAACCCGAAGAATGAACCGTCAGAGACGACGGCCTCATCACCTGAAAGATAAATTAACACATTGCGGATCGCTAAGAAATCTGTAAGACATACGCCCGGGACCGCACGTTTTTGGGTAAACTTGCACGTTACTAAAATCATCATAACATTTTTATTGATGAAGCAATGTTTGTCAAACTTTCAGAAATTGTAAAATAGGACGCATTTTAGGTATTATTAAAAAAATTGTTTTTTAATAATTATCATAACATTTTTATTTAAAAATCAATTTTAAACCAAAGTTCCTAATACTTTTTTGACACATTGTTGACCGGCAATTTTACTTAGAATTTATTAAAATTTTTTTTTATTTCAAAAGGGACACAACTTGACAGGTTTTATTAGCGAAAGACACAGCTTATGGTATGCTGAACAACATGTTACATGTTTATAATTACATGTATGATCTCCGAGAACGTACTGACTCAACTCGTGATCGATGCGAAACAGAAGCGCATCGATCACGAGTTTACTCGTGGCCGGTCAGCAACGTTTGAACGGGAAGACACGAGTTAACTCGTGACCGGTCAACAATGTTAAAACGTAAATTGTAAAAAGGAATATATATATATAATTTAAAGGTAATATATATTTTACATTGATTCTAAATTAATTATTCTGTTTCCTTTTTTTATATCCTCAGCACAATGGGGAGGTTTACGAGGACGTCGTACACCATCTAAAACACCGGCGCGGTCAGCTTTAGCCAGACCGGAGAGTAAAGAGTAGAAAAGAAAGAAACTGAAATGGAGAAGTGGAGAAGAAGGAAAAGGAAGAACCACTCCCGGGTCCGAGTCGAGAGGACGGTATAATCGTTACTGTTATATAGAGATACAAGGGGAAAATACGCAAAATTTTAGAAATTTTAATATTTTAAGGTGGAAGGCGATCGTAAAAATTCTCACTCTCCCCGAAGTCGACGTTACGTTATATTTAGAAAACGCGTTCTGCGAAATCCTGACATACGCGGTTAATTCCTCCGCCGCGAACGACTACGTTAGATTGTCGATTGCTTCATCAGATTTAACACGCGGTCCAGCGGGTTTGTTATTTCGTCCGGCGTGTGATTTAACCTTCGAGAGTATCTGATATCTTGCGAGTTCACTAGTACAAAATGCCGGAGAACTCATTATCACGGAGAATTTTAATATAACTGTATACAATATCGAGACACTTTCGGGGTGGAGCAGAAAATCAAATAAATTGACACATAAGGATGTCGCGAAACGCTCAATTTTAAACATCAATAATACCGATAATTTGTACTTTCCGCATTCGCTCGTCGCAGCATGGGTTTACTGCAAACGCGGTGACGTGCGAACGGGAGAATTGCATAACTAATGGAACGCTATAAGATTCGCGCATTCCTCGTTACAACGCCAGTTGATGGAAGAATTAACGAGGAATACTGGGGTGATCATTCCCGAGTAAGGTTGCGGTATTCCCGAAATTGAGCGTTTTCAGAGCTATCTTTAAGATAAAGAAGTCGCGATCGTTATTTATAATTTTAGTAGTGCTCGCGGTGTCCCGCCGATGTATGACGGGCATACGATGCTTACCTCCCTTGTCCGCGAGGTAAAATAGAGATTAAATATTTTATATTATGAACATTCACGCAATTTTAATCCCATATTAAATTTAAAAGCTGCCGCGGGTCGTGGGTATTATTGTGTTGCATGTAATAAAGATTATCGTAACGAAACAAGTCACCAGTGCTCAAATGCGTATCCATACTGTCGCCGTATACCTGTGTGCGAAGTCTCGAACAAAGGGAATATTGGGTGCGAAACGTGTAATCGTTCATTTTATAATATGGAATGCCTCGAACGGTATCGTATGTCAAAATCGTACTACAGGGAGGCACTATCCAGCGTCTGAAGCGACGAGCGATTTTACAGTAATTGCGTTCGACTCGTTAAAGGTAAAAACGGTCATAAATGCGGTGAGATCTTTTATAAAGCGTGCAGTTTTTGGGAACCTTCGAATCATCTTTGTCATATGCGTCCCCTTTATCACAATTCGGATTCGAGCGGTGTAACAAAGTACATATCGCAATCCACCCTTAGCGTTATCTATGGAGGAGGAGGAAGAGGTGGAAACACGTAATAACGTCGAAGATGATGAAGTTGATTCGAAAACGACTAACCATCGAAGAGGTTGCGTCGCGTTTAAATTTTACGATTTCGAGACGAGACAAAACGATACGGTCGAGGGCACAGAAAACGTGAAAATATATGTTCCGATTCTTTGCGTCGCGCAACAAATATGCGACGGATGTATAGGTGAAGACGACATGTCGTTGGTGCAGTACGCGCGAATTTATATTCCGCATCGATCCCGTGAAACAATTTGTGGATTTCGCGACGTGACCGACAAAAAATTTCACCCAAATCGTTTGTATCGCGCATAACGCGAGCGCGTTCGATACATAATTTATCCTGCGATATCTGGTCGAGAGCGATAAAACAGAGCCTAAAGTAATTTTAAACGGCACGAAAATATTAGATTGGTAAGAAAGTTGTGTCGTTTTTTTGTTGCTCCAATTGAAATGTTCATTATTTCGTTGTTCTTTGTGCGATTTAGACAATTTTGGTATTAATCAAAAGCTATAGTTCCACGTTTTGATTTTTGATATTACAGGTGTTTTTTAATCATTAAATTTTGAGAAATAGGAGTATATAATGTGACGATGCAAATTTTCGCTCGTCACTCAGGCCGTAGCCTGGCCGAGGAGGAACCGGAGGCTCGCCTTCGCGTAAAAGAAAGCGACCGAGTTTACAGATTCTTGGTTTCGTGCGCCGTTTGCGCACAAGACATGACCCGCGGCTATTATATATATTTTTTTGAGTATAAAAACACCCCAAGCCAGAACACCGGAGGAGAGGAAGCAGACAGAAAACGGAGCGGCCGGGAGGAGCCAAGGACGTAAGAGAGCAAGGACTCGGAAGGAGCGGTTAGGGCGACACGCGAAAGGACGGGGAGATCTCCTTTTCCCGAACGGACGACTGGTAACGAATAGCGGGGATGGCCACCTTGCGCTAAGAAAAGCGCAAGGCCCCGTGACCTGGTCGCAGATTATGCGAAGGAAGACCCCGGGAGGAATCCTTTTGAACGGCTGCGAGCCCAACAGTTGCCGAATGTCATCACGAAGAAAAACAAGGATAAATAAGCGTTGAGATAACAAGACAGATAACAGACGGCGAGCTAGCTAGACGTACGAACGAGCGAGCGAGCGAGCGAGCGAACGAGCAAAGCTGCCGTGTCCGAAGGACGATATCCAGAGGGGGAGAGGCGAGCTTCCGGTGACGAGTGGGTAAGCGAGAACTCTGTACAGCCGCGGATAAATTAAGTAGAATTTTGAGAGAATTCCGAGTCGGTTGCCATCGTTTCCCGACGGCATAGGCGCGAGAAGAGGACCGGGAATTTGAACTCGTTGGGGGTCCGTGACGCCCGGGAAGTACGGTCGCACGGACTTACGAGGTTTGAGGGGCCACATCGCAGGGCGACAAGGGCCGTGCTCGAGAGCGTCTCGAGCGTAAGAATCCCGGAGACTCGGGCGAGAGACTCGGTTGCCTTCTCCATTCGCCAGTCGCACAGTCAGCATAGAATAGAAGTTTTGCATGCATGTCTCGAAGCTTACGCGGTTGAGAAGTAGAGAAGTTACGTAGAGACTGCTTCCGGCAAATGAGTACGTCGGAAAATACCGAATCGGTCGGAAGCAGAAACTACTGTCGGGAAAGACTCGGCTGGCGCCCAACGAAAAAATCGGCGAGATTCGCGTAACGACGCAGGGCCAGAGAGCTGCCCGTAAAACGACGCGCGGTATGATAGCTGCCGTCAAGTGGCTCAGATCCACCGCCTAAAATTATATTTCGCGGAACAACGTAAGCGAGAAATCGCTCTCTGTAAATCGCGTTAGTAGAAGAGAGAGGCCGGTTCTGGCTCAATTGGATCTGTTTTACCG